AATTTACTTGGCATGTATCTATGTTATGTGTACATAAATAAGTACCTGGGAGGCTACTTACCAAGCTATCAATAATAGATACCCTTGCAGACTGGGAGTTTGGGGCAGGGGTAAAGAAGAAACGCACACTTTTTTTGTATTTCATAAAAAGGCATAATATTGATAATAAGCATACACTCTTTCAGAGTAGAAAACAGAAATACTATACTGTAAACCTAGTACATAGTGAACATCTTTTCAAAGCAAGAGACATAATTATATGGCATCAATTTTTGTGATTTCACAGTATTCCACTGCAGAGAGGTCCCATAATTTAACAAGTCTATTAAAAAATTTACTATCTTTCAATCTTGAAAAGTACTGATTTCCTCATCTGTAAAACTGGGATAGTAATAGGAACCATACCACAGCATTGTTGTGAGTATCAAACAAATATACGCGAAGTTCTCAGAACAGTGTCTGCCCCACAGTCAGCATGATTACACAAGTGTTATCCATTATTTTTCAGTCCTCTCTTTTCTACCACTTCTATTCTTGCTATAAAAAATCTAGTCCTTATTATCTGTCTGGCATTATTTACTGCAATGGCTTAAAATAGATCTTGCCTACCAAGAATATTTCTCCACTTTAATCCATTTTATACATTATACCAAATCTTCCTGAGGCGTACTTGGCTGTATAAAGGTCTTCAAGATTCATTTCCTATAGAGTAAGGAACAAATTATGTTGCTTGGCCACTAATTTAGGATTCCAGATTCATTCCTTATCAATCCCCTTTCCCTCCTACCAAACCAAACTACTGTACTTCTCTTTCCCCACACTCAATCTCCTGGAATTTGCTCCATGTTTTTTCTTTGGCCTGGAATACCTTTGCTAATTTCCACGTCTTCAAGTTCATATTCTGCTCATCTTCACTACTCCAGCTGAAAGCAATTTCTCCATCCTCCGAACTGTCAAAGGACATAATGTACCTCACCCTACAGAATATATATATATCATCTCCTGATCAATTTCAAATTAAATATCTAGGTCTCATTTTTAACTACAGTTTTTTTTAACCTGTACTATGGTTTCTACATTTAGGAAACAAATCTTATCATGTACTTTATACAATTTGTTGAAAAGATTAGAAATAGTATAAAATGACCTAGTACAGTCATTACCACCTGGTAGATACGCCCTAAGCATAAGTTATAATTATTATCCCTTGGGAATAATTTATATGCTTGAAAAAGGTAACATGTATTTCTATGTGTATATACCTGAGCATGACAACAGAAGGCAATTAATTAGTTAGATCCCTACATCTATATGCAGATCGTCTTCTGCTCCTAACTTGCCCTGAATGTGACTTTGAATAAAAGTTTGATAAAAATTTTTCCCAGTGACAAGCAAATGTCAATGTGAATATATATAAAATTTTAGTGCTGAATGGATATTACTTGAAAGGGTGCTATATAAAGTCTAACCTTTCATATTTTACCCTCAACTGGGAAGACTAAGTTCTGTCAGAGGTCAGATTCAATGTGTTTCAGAGAACACACCAATTGCAACCTTTATGCATTACACCACAGAACAGGCATTGAATGGAGTGATTCAATGTAATACACTGAAAATATACAAGGTACACTTTTAACAATAACATATTTTCAGACCTTCTACCATCTGGCACCTCACTGTTTTCTTGAAACTATACCCATTTTAAGGCTTAGTTAATAATGCTATTAACTACATGCAACAAGTTGGTTTTTAAATAGGCCAAATGGTAGTTAAACTCACTATATCATTTTGAATAATTATATTGCCTATACAGAAACACAGTTTTCATGTCACATAATTACAATACTAATTGCACCACTTCAAAATAAATAGAAGAGGTGTTAGGTGAGAAAA